AAGGTTATAAATTTTCAAGTTGCACTTAAAGTATGCTTAATTTACACTAGTACAGATTGTAGAAAAACAGAATCAAAATGTTTATTTATTCATGGCTACAGTAGAGATAAGAAAATGTAAGGTTTAAAATAATGATGTTTATACATTGTTATTGACACGCTTTGTTTATCATTTCCCTGTGATGTCTGGGTCATATATATATTTGTAAGATGATAAGTCGCTAGCATAATGACATGTTACCATTCGTGTCATCAAATTTTAGCAAATATTTTCAAATAAAAAATCTGAAGTATAAAATTTCATAAAAGTCATCTTTTCAAGTTGTAGATTCATTGAAGTGTAAATAAGGTGTCTGTGTTAAGCCGTAAAAGTTGATGTAAAGTAAATGTTTTTTTTTTCTAAAAAATTTGCATAATTATGCAGTTAAAGTTAGTTTTTAACTGTTTTATTTAAGCCTAATTAGTGTAATACCATGCCTTAATGAATCAGACTTGTTTAATATGCAGCTTGAATTTAATACGAATTGTCATATATATTTTTAGAAAGGTTAAATCATAATGAAGAGACTGTAAAGTGTAAATATATGTCATCACAGTGGTAGGAACAGGGGTCCTTCCTATAAATTTTATGGAATAAGTTTGCAAAAGGGGATACAAAAACTTCATGTTTTATTGAATTTTAGGGGAAAACTGCAATTTTTAAGGGTAAGATACCTGTAAATATTAGCTGCTTTTGATGTAAAAAAAGCCATGGAAAACTATGATTAGTGAATTATTCTTGATTAATATGCAGGGAAAGGGTAATGAAGGGACGTACTGAATTTAATCAAGTTGCCAAAAAATTCAAAAAGCCAACCCCCACCCCCCATAAAACTATATGGGCAATTTGCAATCATAAAAAATGTACAGTTTTTAATTTTTTGATTTCCCCCTAGATTTACAGTGTACATGTACTAAAGAAAAATTCTGTTCCTTTGCAATGTCATGTTATGATGTACACTTTATTTTTTGACATCCTGAAATCTCTAAAATAAACAGTGTGCTGTTCCAAAATTTAAAATGGGACAGATCCATAACACATTATAAGGGAGGAATGCGTTCAAATTATGATATTGGCCAGGTATCAACTTCCAATACTTTCTTTCGAGATATTTACTATCATAGTTTACAAAGCTGTTTAATGTTGACATTAAATGTCTCATTGAAGTCCCAGCAACACATTGAATAGAATTTCGAGATTGTTGCTGGGAAAGGTAAATTGTGTGATGTAATTAGATATATCTAGATCAGACCCAGTATTCTTCCTCATTCTTTGTCAACAAATTGAAATATGATAAATTTAAGCATATATAAATACTATTCATGTGTTTTCTGAATGACAAGGTTTATTATTATGTGGATTTTTTTTCTGTTTATCTTTTTCAAAGCACCTAGGATGTATGGTTATTAATTTAAAGATTTGTCACTGAATATGGAAAATATTTTAGCTCCCATTTTATATTTTAAAAGATAATTTAGGAAAAAATGCATATTTTGGCAATGCTACATTGTATTCTTACATGTATATTTTTGGTAATTTATTAAAATATCTGTAAGTAATAAGTAGAACATTGGCTTTGTGGTTAAGGTGTGACTGCATCTTACATGGAGGGTGATAAGTGTGACACCTTGTAACTGGTTAGTCCATGAAATAAACAAGCCAAAAGTGATTACCCTTATCTGGTTGGAACCAAAACTGATCAGAAAATAGAGACCAGAAGTCAAACCAGGCCCTCTAATACTATTTGTTGACTTAACTTCAGATTTTCCTCTTGATATCCCCAAAATTGGTAATGGTTAGTTCCAGAAATGAACATACAGCAGGTTAGGGGTTGACTGGTGTAACTTAACATTTAAAGATTATAGGACTGGTGTGACACTTGAGAACTGGTTAGTCCAGGAAATAAATGACACAATAGTAACTAAACTGGGGATTCACAATCAATCTTTTAATGAATATATATGAAGTTTTTAAAATATACATTATCTTCCCACTATTTAATACTTAAGTTACGGAAGCTTTTTAATTTCTATAGTGGGATTATTTAATAATTTTCTATAGGCGTCCTTCCCTATAGTATTAAGTCATACTGTTTTCCCTTAAAATTCAATTTTCATGAAAAATTTATAAATTTCTTTATTCCTCTTTAGGAAAAATACTGTGTTACCACAGAATTTAAGGGTAAGGCAACTTCTACTACCAGAGAAAAAATCCCTGTAACTATGTCCCATTCCATACAGATATTGCATAGTGCACTTGTCTTGATGAAATTATGATCATTAGATTGTCAATTTCAGGGGTGTCAGTGTAAATCTTTTAAATTTGAATTTTAATGCAGTCAGCTGTATTTTGTTTGGACAGGCTATAAATGGGTGTATTGGCAAATATTTATTATATTTGCCACTTTAATCTGTTTTATAAAAGAAATGTATACATGTACATAACAGAAGTTATTTTGCTGATTTTTTTCAAAAGATCCCTTTTTCAGCTTTTCTCCATCAAAGAAAAAGTCGAGCTATGATGATTGCTATGTTGTCGTTGTCGTCTTGCAAAATGTAGCCCATTATTCAATAATTATAAAAGTTACAATCAAAATGAAACTTGGAATTCTTGCTTATTGTGACAGTGCAGTTGCTAGACAAGGGGCATAATACTGAAAGGTATAATTTTGGAGTTATGCCCCTTTTTAAGTTAGAATATTTGACAAAAATTGTTTGCACTTAACAGACAAGCAGTGGTGCTGTTGTTTTCATCATTTGATCACATTGTAGTGGTAGACCACTTTAAAAACTTTATTTAATCTTGAAATTCAGTGTTTTGTATTGAGTACAGTACTGGACACGCGAAACCCGCAAAAGTCGCGTTATGCCGCGAGTGTAGTCTATGTCGCGACGGGACACTACGCAGTAAAACATCGCCGCGTGCAAGTTCGCCGAATTTCATGGCGGTTCACGAAAAATCGCCGCGATGTATCGCCGTAATTTACGGCGAATCTTCAGCAATAATTGTATTAGAAAGTACTACTTGGTCATTCCCGTGGTCTTTAATTTTGAAAACTTTAAAAAAATCTTGTAAATGTCATGTATATTTATAAATATTTAGCATTTGAACATGTACAGCGTACACATTTTGTATACTAAAACAAAGCAATCACTTGGTGCTGGTGAAAATTAGTTAACAATAAAACGAGATTGAAATTACAAAAGGTAATTGGTACTACATCAAAGAACGCACGATAACAAATTGTCCAATTGTTATTTTGATAATAATACAAATGTAATTAAAATCCATTGTTTACTTTCGCACATATTCTATTTTTAGAACAATGCAAAGCGACATTTAGCACCGATTCACAGGTGTAACTAATTATTACGTCTAATACGCTAATTATGATTGTTGAAAATTGTAAAAGTTTTATCACTTAAATTGAGACATTCTTTACCTTCAATTTCACGAGTAAAAAATGCCAGGTGCATGAGTAGGTGATGAGTAGCAAGATGCAAATCAGATTTTTTTATTTCCGCCAAATCAGCCAGGGCATTCGACCCAAAAAATTCCCTCGAAAACAAAAATAAAATCGGAGTTAAATCACACATTTAATATGTAAAGTAACGAGGGCATTCTGTGCATAAAATTAGGGTGTTACTATTTAAAGTATTTACATAAATATAGCGACCAACCAGGGAAGGATATTTTCCTTACGTCACGCAGTACTGCATGGTCACTAATTTACCATGTGGTAATTTTAATGTGCTTTGGGGTACATGTTCGTTTTTTTATGACTGACGACACAGATTAATTACTAAGCCCATGCACGGATTTATATTACTTATATTACTATAAATCCGTGGCCCATGCAATAAAACATTTCTGGTAGCAGCGGGGATTCTGTCATAAAATTGACCGAAAAAATAAATTTTTGGAATTCATATGCATTTTTGTTTTGATAGCAGACACAAGTATTGCACAATATCTTCAAGATCATAAAAATGTAAATAAAATATCACAATCAAAATGCACTTACGATTAATAATATGTCAATAATTGACACAATCAATATCCAACATTTTTTTTACTTGAGCAATAATTAAACATGTGTAATCATTCCTTGACAAAAAGAAATGACAGTTTTTTTCTGATATATAAAAAAGAGGTGGAAGTCAATCGAGTGTCGGCATTTCTTTGATGATTCGGCAACAACTACAGGTGTGTAAACATCAAAGATTCACAGATTCTTTAGAAGAGCCGACCAGTCATTTGTCAGAGGTCATTTCGTGTGTAAATTTTGTATTTATTATTTAACAATGGAAACATTATATTCCTTTTATTTATGGATGCTTCTTTTTGCGCGAGTGTTTTTGTGTCTTTTAGCGTTATGGAATTTCAACAATCGGCGATAATTTTCGGTAACTAACAATTAAATATTTTAACATTTTTAAAACAGGGGTGCAAATATCCGCCATTCAGAAATTATAAATCTTGCGTGTGTTATTTTTTACAGACGTGTAATAAATTGAGTAATGATCACCGAGAGAACGAAATGTCCCGGTGATCCACTATAACTCTTCCAGGTCGTACGGGAATATTTACGCAGGATTAGTTTATCACATCGGTAATTTGACCATGCTTGAATTTATGTCTTATGTTTTCTTGATACAACTTCATGTAGATCTACTAATTAATTTTCGTACTTGTACATGTATATCTGGTTTCAAGTTCACAGAGTACAATTATAAATAGATCTACATTTATTATACAAATGAACATGTATTATTCCCCGCGAATCACGGCAAATGTTCACGGCAAAATCGCCGCGAGTTGAATTCGCGGCAATTGTCTCAAGTTGCCGCGAATTCGCTCGCGTTATAAAGCATGAGAGTTCGCCGCGAATACGCGAATTTAGCGGGTTTCGCGTGTCCAGTACTGTATACTTATATAAATTTATTTTTGTATAATTTCAGCTGATTTTGGTGTGTCAGCTATCAGTGATAAGACTATACAGAGGAGGGACTCCTTCATTGGAACTCCTTATTGGTAGGTATTTGATAGCTTTGGGAAGAGTGAGGGAAAATATATGGTTGTATTCTGTGGTATTTAACTAAGTACTAAATACTGTGTTTATCTACTACTTTCATAGTATACAATGCAGTTAAATATCATCAAACAATTCTAAGCGAAACTAATTATTTTTTCATTTCAAGACCTTTTACATGCGATAATCTTATACTTATGGCTAAAACATATTGTTACCGGGATAGCTCAAGTTATGTCTATATTATAGATCATACTAGTTTCTTTTATTTTCACTTGCTTGCCTCTAACTACTGATGGGATTTGACCACTCTGGGTTTGAATCCCATTAGTTGCTTTCACTTCTTTCATGTGAATCTATCTGGCTAGCTTAAAGAAGGTCATTTGTTCTCTTGTGCCTAAAAATATTGCACAAAAGGGGCACTCGGGTTTTTAATAAGTAAAGCTGGAAGACGACCATATGACCTTTTTATGCGCCCGTTTGGAAAACAGGTCGTATTATAGTTTTTTGAAATGAAATAAAAATAAACAAAATAACAAATTGAAAGCACCAGAGTCAAGTATAATATCCTGGACCAATCAGGGGCCCTTGTAGCCCCCTGGACCTCCAGCTGAAGTGTTCAGGATTCTCAAAATTTACAATTCTCAGACATATATATGATTGTTGTGTTTCAGTAAATGCATTCACATAAATCTCACTATTGCTTTATACCTTAATCAGATATTGCTGACAGTAGGATATTGTGTAGTTGTTTGCATGTGGGAAATAGAAATTAATTATTAGTCCCCTACCGGTTAAACCGGAGGGGACTTTAGGTTTACCCTCCGTCCGTCTGTCTGTCTGTCCGTCTGTCTGTCCGTCTGTCTGTCTGTCAGTCTGTCAGTCCGTCAGTCCGTCCGTCCACAAAACTGGATCCCGCGATAACGCAAAAAGTACTGAAAATATTTTTATGAAACTTGATATATGGATAGATGGCAGTATGGAGATTATGCACGTCTTTTTTTTTTCTTCCTATGTTGAAAATTCTGGTTGCTATGGCAACAAATAGTCTGAAAATATGGCAAATAGTCTGAAAATATGGCAAATTTAACACATGAACTGGATCCAGTGATAACTCAAAAAGTACTGAAAATATTTTTATGAAACTTGAAATATGGGTAGATGGCAGTCTGGAGATTATGCACATCTTTTTCTTTTCTTCCTATGTTGAAAATTCTGGTTGCTATGGCAACAAATAGCCTGAATTTCAAGATTTCTGATTTAAATTTTTCAGCTTTTTCACTATATGTTCTTTATTTCTTAAGGTGTTTACTTCAAACTTTAAATATAAGTTTCTGGTCATCAACCACATCATATGTGACAAGGTTTATAACTCTAGCACAAAAAATATCAGTATTACCTCCCTTGAACTTAGATTTTTTAGGGGAAAAAATGTTGTCTTTTTTAAATAACTTCTTTATTTCCTAATGTATCTACTTCAAACTTCATATATATGTTTCTTATTATCACTCGACATTTTTGAGAAGGTTAAATACTCTAGCAAGACTATTTCCAGAATTATGTCCCCCTTGAACTTAGATTTTTTTCGAGAAACTGGTATTTTCACTTCAACTTCTTCATTCCTTATAGGATTTACTTTAAAATCCCACATCGTAATAATATGACAAGGTTGTATAAACATAATTTCCTTACTAAGCATGGAAACTTAACACATTACTGTGATATAGACAAACTTATTTTATTATGTTTTGTGGTTGATATTTTCAAATACAGACTTCATCCTCAAATTCATTATAAATGGCAATACACAGGAGTGTATGACAATTAAAGAACTTTTTGAGGGACCGGTAGGGGACTACTGTATTGCCCGCAATACTATCAAATGCTTGTTTACCTATTTTTCTCATTATATATACAGGTAGTTAAAATATTCATCCATTCACGTTGTACCAGGAAGAAAAAAAATGTTTAAATGGCAGTGTATGTAACAGAGAAAGATTTCAAAACTGATAAAACCTGTTTAATATTATTAAGTTTAATAAAATGTTTGAAATGTATGAAGTTTATCGTAAATGTAATGATTGGAATTTATTTCCTCAGCATGAGTCTGCAATAAGATATAAAAAATATAATACAAAAATAGATTTTTAAAGTAAATTGGTCTATAATAAATTGAAGGTCTGCGATACAATAAATATAAAAAATTATGTTGAGAGTATTTAGTATCACACATATCAACAAAAGAGTTATACATGGATGCTTTATACATGATCCAATATGACATGATATTTATATTGCAGATAATAAAATGTGAAATATTATTATTCATCATAAAAATGTTCATACTAAATCACTTAAAACTTAAATAACATTTTTTTTTCAGGAAAATTTTACAACAAAATACGAACCTAAAGTTTTGATCGATATTTGAAATATATGTACTTTATGGAAAATGTGCCCATTGAAGACCAATCCACTTAAAGACATACTTTTACCTATATTACAGGATGGCACCTGAGGTTATACTGTGTGAAACGCTGAAGGACACGCCCTACAGTTATAAGGCTGACATCTGGTCACTGGGGATCACGCTCATAGAGTTTGCCCAGATCGAGCCGCCCAACCATGAGATGCATCCAATGAGAGTGCTGATCAAAATACAGAAAGCCGATCCACCTTCATTAGATTCTAAAAGGAAATGGTAATTTGAGATTATTACATTTTTCCATGAATTGAAAATATTAACATTATAAAGGTGGAAGAATGATTCAGCAGAATGGTAATTTGTATTATGAAGATTATACCTTTAATAATAGGATATAGTAAAATTTGGAATTGTCTCTAAATGTATAAAATACATAATTGGTTGAAACTTCATACACACTTATTTTAGAGCATTTTAGGAGGTCATTTTTTAAGGTCCATAACTGTAAAATGGACTTTGACAGAAGAAAGTCCCTTTTTGAACTTTAAATTTAAAAAAAGAATATTCAATTTTCATCTAGGAGGGACTTGTTTGAAATAGCTACACATATTTGGGTTCTTATTTTACATGCCAAAATTAAACAGGTTTATGTGTTTTCTTTAGCATAAAAGCTGGTAAAGTTTAATGTCTTGGAATTTTTATTGATATAAAACTCAGATTTAAAATTGAGAGTAATAATCTTTAGAAAATAAACGAATATTATATGTTTCAGGTCTGGAAATTTTCATGATTTTTTGAAGCAATGTTTGATTAAGGATCCTGAACAGAGGCCCACAGCCGAGGAGCTTTTAAGGGTAAAGAAATTGATTTAGCATGACTTGTTAATATTGTAATGAGAGAGTTCCTTGTACAAATCTTGACCATTAAACTGCTGGAACTGAAAGGGATAAGTCTATGCTATCAGTATAGTCTAGAGCCAGGCTAGCCTGCATTACAGTGCTGTTTAACCAGGCTCTATACTGTTGGTAGGCTAGCTCAAATTTTGTGGATCCACAGTCCAGTACATAGCAAACGTAGTTCCTGTTAAGTTGTGTTTTCATTGGCTTATTGTCAGATGAACAGGTTTTGTAACATATTCAAACAATATATAAGAGCAAAACTATAACAGATAACTTGTACATGTATAAGATAAATAATTCTTAAAATTTGCATCAAGTTAGAAATATTGAAGAAATTTTATTTGGAAAAAAATTATAATTTATGAAAGACTTCAACATAAATATTAAGTCAGAAAGTCCGAATAAAGATATATTGTACAATGGCACAAATCTGGATTTTAATTATAAAATTGAGGGAATTTTAAATTACAAAGTATAGAAAATTTACTTAATTGTAAATGAGTTTAGATATTTAAGTTTCTCATCTGATTGGAATAAACATATTTATGTTGAATGTTATATATATGCAGCACCCATTTATCAGCAATCCACCAAATAAGAAAGTAATATTGGATTTGATCTCGGAATCAAAGGCCGAGGTTGTAGAAACTGTGGAGGACCTTACTGAAGATGAGGATATTCAAGAAATGAAGGTATACATTCCAAATAAGTTTGTTTTTCCCATCCCCATTGCAAAATTGTTTCTATCAGCTGTTTTTAACACACTGAGGTCTTCCTCTACCAGTAAAGCTAGAACATCGCCATATGACCTATATTGTGCCGGTGTGACGTAAAACCCAATCAAACAAAAGTACCAAGCTCAAATTTGTATCAAACTCAGTTTTGTATCAAGCTCAGTTTTTGTAACAAGCTCAATTTAGTATCGAGCGCAGTTTTGTACCAATCTCAATTTTGTATTAAGCTCAATTTTTTATCAAGCTCAATTTTGTATCAAGCTCAATTTTGTATCAAGCTCAATTTTCTACCAAAATCAAATTTGTATCAATCTCAGTTTTGTATCAGGCTCAATTTGTATCAGGCTCAATTTTGTATCAGGCTCAATTTTCTGTCAAGCTCAATTTTCTACCAAACTCAATTTTTTATCACGCCCAGTTTTGTATAAAATTTGTGTCGAGCTTAATTTTGTATCAACCTCAATTTTGTATCAAGCTCAATTTTGTACCAAGCTGAAATTGTACCAAGCTCAGTTTTGTATCAAGCTCAATTTTTGTACCAAGTTTAGTTTTGTATCAAGCTCAATTTTTGTTACAAGCTTAGTTTTGTATCAAGCTCAATTTTTGTTACAAGCTCAGTTTTGTATCAAGCTCAATTTTTGTACCAAGTTTAGTTTTGTATCAAGCTCAATATTTGTTACAAGCTCAGTTTTGTATCAAGCTCAATTTTTGTACCAAGCTCAGTTTTGTATCAAGCTCAATTTTTGTACCAAGCTCAGTTTTGTATCAAGCTCAATTTTTGTTACAAGCACAGTTTTGTATCAAGGCCAAATTTGGTATTTTGGAACTAAAATCCCTTTAAAGTTTTAAGAACTGTTGCAAATTCAAAAGCAGTGCAAAAATCCATTTAAAAAAATAAACAGGCTAGTCTAGAAATTCTAATTTGAGTTGTTCTTAACTACCTGGAAAGATTATGTTTTGTTTCATATTCATATTTAAATGTTTTATATGTAGACAAGTATTGATTGACAATGAAGTGGAGTTATTAAAATGATAACAACTCTTTAACAACCTGTTACACCCATTTAATAAGCATTTATATTGATTATTAAAAAATGATATCTTCGTTGGTGGTTATACCTTTATCTCAGCTGGTTAAAGGGACTTGCTCATAACTGGAGCATAAAATGTGCAATATGATAAGATTAAACATAGATCAGTATTATAGATACTGAAGAATGACAAAAGTTGGTGAATGTATGTGTGAAATATTATGAAACAGAGTAAAGAATATTTGCTGAAACATAACTTTTTAGGTTAGCCTGGGAATCTAGTTCTTTGAACTTATCTTAATCGCTTTTGTGTCCTCTTTCTGGACAAACTAGTACAGTACTTGTGTAATACAAGGAATAATGGTCATAACATCCAATAGGGACGAGAACCATGTTTTCATGGTGAAGATAAATATAGTTTATATTGATATTTTTAGTATGATTATGTTGGAAGCTATAAGCTTATTGAAACACTCCTGAATCCATTCCTTGAACCAGTCAGTACTAAGAAATCATGAGTGTAAAGTTTCTTGCTCACGGAAACAACAAATTGCCACTGATGAGGTTTGAACCCATGTGGCCAGCAATCCTTACATTACTACTCCAGCGTGTAAACCACTCGGCCACGCTGCCACTCTTTATTTATTAGCTCACCTGTCACAAAGTGACAGGGTGAGCTTTTGTGATCGCTTTTCGTCCGGCGTCCGGCCGTCCGGCGTCCGGCCTTCCGTAAACTTTTACTTGAAAAGACATCTCCTCATAAACCACTAAGCCAATTTCATCCAAACTTCACAGGAATGTTCCTTTGGTGGCCATCTTTAAAAATTGTTCAAAAAATTTAATTCCATGCAGAACTCTGGTTGCCATGGCAACCAAAAGAAAAAACTTTAAATATCTTCTTTTAAAAAACCCAAAGAGCTAGAGCTTAGATATTTGGCATGAAACATCTTCTAGTGAGTGTTTACCAAGTTTGTTCAAATAAAAGCCCTGGGGTCAAAATTGGCGCCGCCCCAGGGGGTCATTGATTTTCCCTATATGCATATAGTAAAAACTTAAAAAATCTTCTTTTAAAGAATCCATAGAGCTAGAGCTAAGATATTTAGCATGAAACATCTTCTAATAAGTGTCTACCAAGTTTGTTAAAATAAAAGCCCTGGGATCAAAATTGGCCCCGCCCCAGGGGGTCATTGATTTTCCCTATATGCATATAGTAAAAACTTAAAAAATCTTCTTTTAAAGAACCCATAGAGCTAGAGCTAATATATTAAGCATGAAACATCTTCTAATGGGTGTTTACAAAGTTTGTTCAAATAAAAGTCCTGGGGTCAAAATTGGCCCGCCCCGGGGGTCAATGATTTTCCTTATATGTGTATAGCAAAAACATAAAAAATCTTCTTTGAAAAAACCCAAATAGCTAGAGTTTAGATATTAAGCATGAAACATCTTCTAGTGAGTGTCTACAAAGTTTGTTCAAATAATAGCCCTGGGGTCAAAATTGGCCCTGCCCCGGGGGTCATTGATTTTACTTATATGTGTATGGCAAAAACTTTAAAATCTTCTTTGAAAAAACCCAAATAGCTAGTTTAGATATTAAGCAGAAAACATCTTCTAGTAAGTGTCTACAAAGTCTGTTCAAATAAAAGCCCTGGGGTTAAAACTGGCCCCACCCCAGAGGTGTCTTTGTTTTTAAGTATATGTGTATAGTAAAAACTTAAAAACTCTTCTTTTAAAAAACCCAATGAGCTAGAGGTTAGATTTTAAGCAAGAAACATCTTTTTGTTGCTGTTTACCAAGTTTGTTCAAATAAAAGCCCTTGGGTTAAAATTGGCCCTGCCAAAGGGGGGGGGGGGCAGAGGTCATTATTTTTCATTATATGTGTGTAGTAAAAACTTAACATCATGAAACATCTTCTAATGGGTGTCTTCCAAGTTTGTTCAAATATAAGCCCTGGGGTTTAAACTGGCCCCGCTCCACCTATATACAGGCCCTCTTGTATTAAAGATAAAGATGTTTTTATGTTTTTAAGTCAGTTCTACAATAAAATGCACAGCATGAAGTCATCTTCAGGTAGAAAATATTGTAGAGAAAAACAAACTGTTCTAAAGTATCACTGGTTTCATGATAACCAAATAGCCTGGTAAAAAACCCTGCAGCATTTTTTGAGCCATTGGGCTACTTTCAGGAATGTTCTTTAACATTCATGTGGGTGTGATACTTATATATCTGCCAGTAAGGCAGTCTCTTTCAATTATAATTTGAGGATAGAAAAGTCAACAATAAAATATGAAATATAACTCAATTGGTTTTACTTATCAATGTTTTGGCTTGTAAATATTAAACCAAATATAATGCAACAGCTGTTAAAAAAGTAGTTATCATGAACATTTTAATTGTATTTTATAGAAACATATGCACGATGACTCAAACATTGATTTAGAGCGGGTATCACAGAGTAGCTTAGATACGGACAAGAGGGAGAGCACTCCAGAAAAACAGGTACTTGTTATATTAGGTTACTATAAAACTAGCTTTGGTTAAAGAGGATTAAATTTATATTATTCACTTCTTAACAAAAAAAAGTTCAAATAAGTAAACTATTAAAGTTGCTTATAATAAATTTATAATAAAGGCTAGATCTCCACAAAGCATTGTCTGAAATGGAAGGTCTAAAATGGGAAAAAATTGTAAGCAAAACAATGCTATTTTCTGTAGATAAAATGAATGATTAAGAGAAAAAACAAAAACAATATAAATGTAAGTTAGCAAAGACAAATAGCAAAATGTTTGTCTTACTGACTTACATATTTATATGTTCCAATATAAGTTCCAATACTCCTTTGCAAACATTCAAGTTTATTCTAAAAATAGTAACATTCTAACTTAGTTTCCTCTTGAGATTGAAATTGTATTATCCTGATAAAGGTCATTGTTATAACCTACTCTGGTGTTTTGATGTGTTGTTCTACTTCCTTTTCTTATTTACTTCATAGTACATAAAAAGTTGTAAATCTTAAATCTCTTTTATTTATACATTTTCTGTTGGATGTTGGTGCAAGTTATGTGTAAATGATAGAGAAACATTACTAAGTTGTTTTTTTATAAGAGCTGTTTTGTATTTATCAGGTGAAAGAAACAGAAAAACCAAAAGTTTCGGAGAAAATTGAAGAAGAAAGATCAGTCACACCCGAGCGACCGCAAACTCCAGATAATGACTTATCTAAAGGAAAAACTCCATCCCCAAAGAAAACCCCTGCTCCACCTCCACCGGAGGAAAGGGAGAGAACTCCAACGCCAGAAATTGTGGAGAAAAAATCCCCACCAAAAGAGGACAGTTCTGAGAGTGAAAAATCTGAAGATGGGAGCGTTAAGTCGAGGGAATCTAGCAAGTCACCGAGAGAAAGTCCAGAGAAAGACGAGAGAGGTTCTCCGATACCTATGACATCATTGGACGAGGAGAAAGAAGAGGTGGTGAAAGCAGGTGAACCTAATGTAGAGGTTCCAACAATATCCCCGCCCCCTGGTTTTATAGAAGATACGGAGGATAAACTATCAGATGAAGGTATCGGACCCAGTGGTGATGAAAAGTCTGATACTTCCAGTCAGGTGAGAAATCACTACCAATTACTCTATTGTATCGTTAACCGAAATACTTAATTACAATGTAATATAATTTGAAAATTTAAATCCTTTTTAGATGTTTATAGACCTGTTATTTAAAGGACATTCAAAGGTTTGTACTAAAGTTGTCAAAACTTAAGAACCAATTTTGCCAAGAGTTTCATTAGACCTCTGATCTTAACATTATTTTATCCCTAAGGTTTTGCACCACTGCAGTGTCTTATTATTTTCTAGTTAAAACCACTATTTCACTCCATTATTTGCTGTTTATATTCATTTGTTAATGTAGTAATTTATTTGTTTAAGCTTATTGTTTCAATCACATTAGAACTAGCATTTTACATTTTATAGAGTTTAAGTGTTAATTTTAGGCCCAAGTTGATTTTGTACTTGTCAGTGAAATTTCAGTGTCTTTGAAGTGTGATAACATCTATAATAGAGTTAAATATTTAAATATCAAATACAGTAGTAAGTGAGAACATAACACTTTTAAAGAAAATTTATTTGGTTTTTCTTAAACATGGAATATATTTTACATTGAATTGAAATTGTATAATACTTGACTTTTTCTATAGTATTTGTGATATTTGAAATATTCTACATCTGAGTTCGGTGTATTTACAAGTCCTATAAATAAACCGGAAGCCAATATATTTTACTTGAATAATATGTTACAAAGATAGTTGCTGGTAGCTTTTTGTAATTGCATGGCCCAAGCTTTTCAGTATAGAAACAAATGATATTTCACTTTGTTCAATATCTTAACGGTTTCTTTTGTTTAGGAAGGTAGAGGCTCAAATGACAACAGTTGTTTGATTCTTTTTTTTGCATATTACAAATATATGATATTTTGAAAAGAAATAAGGAAAACTAAAAACTAATATTTTCATTTAGATTTTTTGTTTTAAATTAGCATATGAATTTACAACTTCATTTATAATGGCACAATTACGCCACTGTCAGAACGCAATTCATTCATAAAATGCGCGTGAGAATGACTTCATTTAAAACAAGCGACTTGTCTTTCATAGGGGGTGTAAGACAGGTTTTTCTAGGACCGGTATAAAAAGTAGATAATCCTGTCTGATACGCAAGAAATCATTATGTCTATATCGAAATTTTGATTAATATTTCAAGAAGCCAATATTTGTGTCCTGTTAATTTGATGGTTGTTAGAAGTTTATAAAAATAAAATGAATACAAACATTTGTTGGTCATCCGAAAGCAAAAGCTGTAGCCTTAAAGACAAAATTAAAGAAACTTTGTTTTTATTCTGCTTTGGAAGTTTTGAAAATGTTTGGTATTATTTTCAAACTTCTGTCTAAAGAATTTTCTCAGGATTCTTTACGTGCTATTTTGAGACAGTTCTCAATGTTTTAGCAATTTTAAAGTTCACTTGCACCTGTGGGCTGTTTCAACAGTTAAAAGTGTCCCAAATGATAAGTGCCTGAGGAAAGGGAGGGGAGTTAAATGTTGGGGAATATATAGGGAGTATTCTTACTCAGTCCTAGATGTTAGTGTTTTGATAGCTTAGCTTCTTGGTGTTCGTTGCTAGAATTCTGTAGCTTTGCACTGTAACTCTTTTGTCTTCAGAATGGAAGTCCATCAAAGATAACCGATGTACAGATAGATATCACACCAACCGTTAGTGACATCGTTGATGAGATCATTGATGATGTCATAGGTAGCAAGTCAGATAAAATGTCGGTTCCTGCTGTAGTCTTTGAGGCTATAGATACTGTAATTGAAGAGCAAATGAAGGAAGAGTTTGTAGAAGGAAAGGATATTGAAATAGAAAGTAGTGCCGTTGGTGAGTCTGGAGACACTGAAGTTGTTAAAGGAGATGAAGGTAAAGAAAAAATTCAAAAAAGGCAGAGCAGTGTTTCGGAATTGATAAGCAACCTAGAAAAAATGAAAGAGTCAGGTGAGATGGAAAGGGCAGAAAGAAGTGCCAGTCCAAGGAGAAGTATAAGCCCAAGAGAAGGTAGTGTTAGCCCTAGGCAGAAATCTTTTGATGAGAGCATTCCAGAGGAAACTCCGGCAGTTTCTGTTACAACCATAGTGAAGAAAGATGATGGAAAATCTTCTAAGAAAGAAGATGAGAAACGTGAGTTAGAGATTCAATCTGTGAAAGTTAAAATAGCAGACGATGATGAAGCTCAACCAATAGAATCGTCCAATATTGATGATGTAATAACAATAAACGGACAACCAGTCCCTCAAGCAAGCACAATAGTTCTTAATGGCCATATTTCAAAAATTAAGGACTCTCCTCGTGGGGAGGGAAGTAAAGCAAGGGAACGTTCTGAATCTCCAAAGGTGGAGAGTAACTTTGTGCCTCAGACTGACATAGATACATTGGAGACTAAAATTAGAAATAGTGTGGAACCGTTAGACATTTCAAACCCAGACGACGACTCTTCTGATCAGCGGTCAGATACTGGGAGTATAAATACTGTAGATAGTGTAGAAAAGGACGAGGTTATCAAAGATTCACCACGCAACAAACGAAGAGGTCATATGAGGCCGAGGGGTGACAGGGTGAGTAGCGCGGCTTATCATATATAGAAATATCGATGTTTTCCATAGTATTTAAGCTTCTTGTTTAAACATTTCTGCACAAATGTATACATATCTTTGAGCTAAATGTTTGCACTAAAAACATATCACAAATGACAGAGACTCTGAAAAATTGAACAAATTTTTGACATGTTTAGTTTGTTTCGAACATTTCACTTCACTGTTCTATAAATATAACACAGTGCAGTGCTTAAAATTAATTTGGATTGGTAGTATCTGAAATATATACAATATTGAAGATTTCTGTGATATCATTGCTAAACAGGAAAGAAAATGATTTGAGCCGCGTCACGACAAAACCAACATACTCAGAGCTCCAGATAATTTTTTTGGCCAAGGGGTTTTTACCCCTCAAAATTTAGAGCGAGGGGTAAAATGCAAATTCTGAAAAACTTAAGGGGTAAAATCTGTCAAAAAAGCATTTTGCATTTTTTATAAACAAATTAAACTTATTGTTTTGTTTGTTTGTTTATTTTCTTTTTTTAGAAAAACCTGTACAAATTAAATACTGATTTAATGTGAAACAATACAAAACATGCCATGTAAAGTCAGACTTCCAGAGTATACTGGAACTCAAGTTTAGGATACCAGAGACATAGATAACAGAGATAGGCAACTTCCTAACCAGTTAAAATATCACGCGTTCCTGCTAAACTTAAAACTTGTAGCAAGTAAAACTTATTAACCAGATATCAAAATCAGGAAAATAATACATTTCCTGAAAGCTTATGCATTTGTCTATGGCTGCAGGTAAAAATATTTACAGTTCCTATTTAAATAAATGATACATCGATTTTTAAAGAGAACTACTTATTAATTTTTGTTACAAAACTATTCATGTGACCAAAAAACTGGCTCAGTGGGTATGTTCTGCTATGTTTTTCTAAGTGAAAGGCATGGAAAGTTACCAATATATTAACATGCAGCTATAGATAAAAGATTTACCTTTGAAATGGTATATAATATTAAAGGATTAAATGTATATTCATTAAGTTTTATTTGCTACAAAATGCCTAATTTTTCACTTTTTTATAGGCATGAGTGATATTTCAATTGAGTATATAGGAGCTGTTTATCTCTGTTATCTATGTCTCTGAGGATACACAGCAAAATTATCAGGGCTTCCATTTTCAAAATTTGGACGTCAAAGACTTCAAAATCTCTGATATTGGAAGTCACATTTTATAGGTAAAGAAGGGAAAGTATTGATTTTCAGAAGTCAAGGAGTAAATGACTCCCAAACTTCCACTAGTGGAAGCCCTGAAATTATTTTATTTTCTAGGAGTCAATATTTTTCTTTCTTTATTTCTGTTGGCGTGAACCTTATCATGTACTCAATTTTGAACAATTATAGTTGAAATTAGAATTAAAGAAACATAAACAAGATTTTTTATATCTTTCCTTAAAAAAAATATTGGTCCGAGAGAAAATTGTCCGTAACTGTAGACTGGGTACGAAAATATTGAGTACAAAACTGCAGGTGAAAAACATGTTATTTTGTTCCAACAACAAAAGTAAAAGATATTAAAATATATTTTTGTTTATATTGAAGCATAAGCATGTCAATAGATGACTAAACAAACTTAATAGACTGTGTTAGCTCCTACGATGATTATCTGGCACAAAGTTCATCAATAATTTCATAGGTTGACCCTTCTGTATTTCCTGCTACTTTCGTTTTTAACATGCGTTGTTGACATCAGAATTTTTAGTTTTCAATGCAATAAAATGGAAATATATGGTATTTTTATGATCAAAACATTTTCTTTCTACATATCAAATGTTTACATTTCTATTCTTTCACGCATAAATTTTGACATACGAGCGTATTTTCATTTTGTTGTGCGTAACTGTGACGCACGAATTTTGAAAGTGATGCGTATTTTAGATTTTCTATGCGTATTTTACGCTTATACGCACGCTATCTGGAGCTCTGATACTGTGTTTGCGACCAACATGGATCCAGACCAGCCTGCGCATCCGCGCAGTCTGATCAGGATCCATGCTGTTTGCTTTGATAAAAAATACGTTTCCAAGAACTATAAAAAAAAATTAAAAAATTAGAGTTATTGCCCTTTGTATATTATATTTCATACTAGTTATTCCCTTTTTAAATGTTTCATATTATATTCCTATCTTGATTATATATATCAAAAAAGTTTATAGGATATTAAGAACTTCATATAACTGTAATTTTTTTTTACATTTAAGGATCTTCATAATGACTTCAAGAAATGTTATAGAAACATACTTGATATATATATTTGACAGTGTTCATTTTTGTGGGCTTTGTTTTCATAATAATGCTAAGCTTCAGACAAGTGATTTTCATCATTTGACAGGGTATATCAATTCAACAAATTTGCTTCTTCCACTATGAATTAAAATGAGAACCATTTAATTAAATTGTTTTCTGAAACTGAATTATTTTAAGATGCATGTTTTAGAATTCAAATGCTATGTTTGCTATTAAAGTAAGATGTAGAAATCATTAGGTCATAGACAAAGTATGGCAATAGCTTAGATTTGGTAACTAAGTAGAGAAAGTTTGAATTTTATTTCTGTTTCTTAGGAATTTTATAATATTACTCATTTATTGAAGACATGTAATGAAAAAATAAATTGGGACAATGATTTTCAGGGCAATAAGAGCCAGTATAGGACTTTGACGAAGACAAGAACATTTGTTATAAATGGAGAGGTGGTGACACAAACAACACAAAAAGTAGTTCTTGCAGGGGAAGAACACAAGTCCAGAGAGGATCATTTGATGAGGTAAGTGTTGCTGGTATGATTGTACACAATACAAAAAGTAGTTCCGGCTTCCGATTTGGTGACTGGAGATGATGAGTACAAGGATGTTCATACACTGTGAGGTAAGTGAAAAACAGTTTTGTCACAGAAAATTGTCCCCGGATTGAGGATCTGGCTCATGATGTCACCTTAGTGCATTACTGGTTAATTCATGTTTAAATTTAGAGGGACTTAACCCGTTACTGCACTAAGATGATGATTTCTAAAGGTATTTTGATGATATAAACGGTGTTTTATTTATCATATCGGTGACCCTTGACTCGTTTTGATACTTTTTCAGCCTGGATAAATTACAGTCATGTATGATCTTGCTTAAAACATATATTATATTCAACTGCAAGTAGTTAGCTTGTTAGTACATGTACATAGTATTAATGCTGTGACAGCTTCATAAGCCCCCTATGTTTTCCTTAACAAGTTGTTGAAATTCAATTTTTCATTCAGCAATGATTTATTGCTAGTTTGAAGGAAACTGTTTCCTTATTGTTTATTATTATATTAAGTCCACATTAATTTAAGCGAATGACATACAATCCGGTGTGTATGTGAAAAAATAAATACTGTGTTAAAAGCTTATCTTGAAAAGGATATTGGTATTTTGGGATTATAATTATTGTGATACCTTACGTTAGAAACAATATTTGGAAAGATTTCAGTTACTTTACTACAAGGACTGATAAGACTGAACAGTTTTGTACAACTCTAACAGAGTTGCTTCCCTTGCATTAGGTAACATTGGAAGGCCTACTGATAGATAAAAGTCAATGTGGCTGTAGTATGATACATCAAGAATGTCATAGTCAAATTGATCAGCTGGAAAAACAAGTTTGTAATAAGGATCCATGGTGTATCAACAGGATCTATGGTGTATCAACAGGATCCTTGGCATTTCAACAGAATCCATGGTGTATCAACATAATCCATGGTGTATCAACATAATACATGGTGTATCAACAGGATTCATGGTGTATCAACAGGATCTAAAGTGTATCAACAGGATCCATGGTGTGTCAACAGGATCAATGGTGTATCAACAGGATTCATGGTGTATCAACAGGATCCATGGTGTATCAACATAATCCATGGTGTATCAACAGAATCCATGGTGTATCAACAGGAACATAATCCATGGTGTATCAACAGGATCCATGGTGTATCAACAGGATCCATGGTGTGTCAACAAGGATCTGATTTCATGGTTGTTCTAAAGTAAACTTTTCAAAAGTACCTTTGTCACATATCGTCCAGTGTGTCTGATGAGTTACATGTTTACAAGTGACCAGAGAGGAGACATTGAGGGCAGGAGACACTAACAAATTTTGATAGCACAGAAGATACATTGACATAGGTCGGGTTTTTTGATGCCAAAATTCAGGTGCACTGCTCTTTGACAACTGATCTTGTATATCATTGCACGGGTGTTATGAAAATATTGCCAAGGCAAAAGATTCCTGCATAGTTTTCCATGATGTCATAGGAGCAAAGCAGTAGGAGATCAAACTTTTAACAATTTTCTTGCAAAATGCTTTTTATAATTTTTTGTTTTTTTTCGTTTACATAGTACACTACTTTTATGAAATAGGCGTGAGGACAAACTTATGTTTTAGACAGTTTATGGTATAATTTACTCTTTACTTCACTATTTTTATAGAGATGATTTAACAGTGTTACATATATGAATGTGTGGGCACGTATGAAGGAACGGTCATTGTTGTTGTTATTTGATAAAGTGATAAAATCACAAAATCACGCAGGGTGTTATTTGAACAGATTCTGTATTGGTTTTATAATAATTCCTTAGGGGTATTTTTCTCATCCACTCAAATGCTGTCACACCTATAGAAATGACTAAAGCTCTGATTATAGTTTTGCTATAATAACTTTCTGCCATAGTAACGGCTGGTAAATTCTATATTTGATATGAAACCATATCTAGTAGGTTACTATGGGATTTCTTTGTAGCAAATTTTTAATAAAGAAGTAGGAATAAGCAAGTAGATTGATGGTACAAAAGTTTTAAATAGAGAAGTAGAAAGGAAATGACTAGCGGTACAAAAAAAGACATAGGGCATAGGGGAGATATCTTCACCTTTAGTGCAGAAGCATGTTAAGTGCTTCTAAATTTAATTGGAGTTATCCAGTTATTGCACTAAGGTGACGATATAATTACGGATGCCTAGTTGTTGTTTTTTTAACAAAAGCCAAGTGTCTGAAAGCCATGCCATTAGAAAATAAATTATTTTGTGCAATTGAAGAATAATTTATGCTAATTTCTTATTGTCCTGAAAGTAACGTAAGTAAAAATCGTCACCTTAGTGCAATAACGTAATAAGTGCTTCTTTACTTAATAGCAGTTATTGAGTTCTTGAACAAAGGTGACCTATTATTTCTATGATTTTCTGGTAATTAAGATGAAGTCCTACATTATTCCTACACTTTGGCTAAAAAAGTACCTATATTTTTGTCAAAAGCCACTCAACAGTTGATTATCAAAAATATAAGAAAACGATAGTAAATTTCTTTAATTAATTCACAGTCATTCTACAGCCTGATAATTACAAATATTAGAAAAATGTTGTGAACTTTTTTAATTAATTCATGCTGATATTTTATTGAAGCAGAAAATGAACGTCATTCACAACAACTGTTGTCTTCCATTTAGAGCATTGTGCTATCTAATTTACATAAAAGATCGGAAATTGACAACAAAATTCAGATAGGAGAAAAAAAATTTTTTTCCTGACTTTCCCCCTAACATTTTGTATTCGAGCAGTAATTTATTCCGTCTTCCTGTGAGACGATGACTCATGCAGTATCCAGATAAATATAACCTTATACAGAGCCTATTGATCCCCTCAGTCATTTTATCCCATCGTTTTCTCACATGCTTTTTTTCCGTAGCAAAATTCCTCCGCACAATTGAAAGCAGTAATATTAATTTTGTCTTGAAGAATGGAACAACCATTTATCAAGACAGTGTGGGTTGTAATTTCCCTGCGAAAACTACCATTACAGTATATGGTTGTAAAGAAGTTGGAAGTCGGGAGAAGAAAGCAAAAAATAAACATGTAAAATGTTAGTTTAGGTGGTGTTTACTGTTAAAGGAACTCCACTGAGGTTCCAAAAGTATAAAAAACATGAAATTTGAATTTCTTGCAAAATGCAAAAAATAATTAAGAAATTTACTTAGAAATAAATTAAAAATCGTATTGAAAAAAAAACAGAAAGATATGCAAAGAATAATTAAGAAATTTACTTAAAAATAACTTAAAAATCATGTTTTTGTGCTATTCCTTATCCGATTTGAATGAAAAGCATTGGATTGCTTTTCAGTTTTGGATAATTTGTTACAGTTTGACTAATTATTATGGGAAAAAGGTGTGAACGAATAATCAGAAATTTTGCACACAAGTTATTATCAAATGGAACATTAATCCCGAAAAATTATTTCCAGTTCCGTCATGTCAAAAAACCTCAGTGAAGTCCCTTTAAATCAGGTGTCTTTTTTAATTCCTGCTGAATTTCTTAAATAAACTTGTTTAGCTTCTAATTTTTAAAAATTATAAATTAATTACATATAAAGGTATAATCATTTCAAACTGTCAAAATTTAACAACTTGTTTCCTTGCACAAACTGAAACAATGACGTCACATTTAACGTCATCAAACAGTTAAATGTAAAAGTGAAAGTAGGTTGTCAGCACGAATCGCTTTATTTTTATTATGAGACCTTAAGCGTATTTAGTACAAACACATTTTTGTTACTATTGAATTTGAAGAAATAATACGACAAATTCATTCCGAAAAAAATGAAAATAAAACTTGCTTCTTGGTTCTACTGCTTTGAACACACAAACAGAAAACATCTCTGTACAGAACAGTAGAAGAGTAGACAAGAATTTCAACGAAAGAACTTCAAAGTCTATTTGTTTTGATTATATTTTTGTTATTATTATTTTTTTTTTTTTTTTGAAATGCTACTATTAGATCTACCAAGTGTATTAAAGACATTAATACACGTCAGCGTAGGGCCGGAAGGTGATAATCGGCCCTGAATGAATAATTGCCCTCGGGCTAAAGCCCTCGGGTCCATTATTCATTTTGCGGGCTGATTATCACCTTCCGGCCCTCTCCTGCCGTGTATTAACCTCTTAATAATTCTTACCTATTTTTGGTAATTTTCATAGATTTGAATGTGTAAATTACTTTCTTTTTTCACTGGACAGTATTTATATCTAATACATTTTAAAAATTATTTATGCAAAACTTTGTATGAAAATTAGCATGAATCTGTAGGCATATTGCTTTAAGATGATGACACATTTTTTTAAACCAAAAGAGTATGTATAGTTATAAAATTGACGTAAGTGTCATATTATTCTTGTAACAATCAAAATGACTAGTTCATTCATCTAAATTATACAACAAAGTGTTGGGCGAGAAATAGACGCAGGAAAAAAAAATTAGGAGAGAGAATCTCAATAAAAATATTATGGCAACTACAGTCATAGAAATGGTTGAATTACGTCATTCCAGAAAGATTGGTTATTCTGTTTCTTTAATGTTTTTTGGTCTCGACCAATCCTTGTGTGTTTGTCATAGATTTTGTCTGTAGCTTGGATGTTTGACAGTAATTCTCCATGTCACACATTCATTATATGGCTTTTCTAGAATGAGTTTGGTACTTGCATATTGTTATATAACCATAAGTGCATTGTGTACACCGGTCTTACTGACCTGTGTGAAACCACGCTAAGCATGATGGGAAAGCACTACTTTTTACATGGCGGCTTGAACACCGAAGTGATAGAACAAATCGAAAAGGGCACCAGTTGAAAAATTAAACTTTTTCCATACTCTGTTGGCATAATAGCCATTACATCATTGTTACTCAAAACATGCACCAAACACTCTTCTGACAATCCTTTATTGGTTTTATTAACCCAGTTTTGTTCAACACC